GTATAGGAGGGATGGAATAAACTCAAGACTGAAGACAGAGTGATTGAATGATAGTCTTTATTTGTAGTTGGGAAGCTTCCAGTCCCTTTCCCTTTTCCTGTTCCCCCATAACATTAGCAGCCAGATACATGTTCTCCCAGAGAAGAAACTAAAAAGCAGAGGAATGACTTCATTGGAGGGTCACCACCCAACAAAGAGGCCCTTACGGAGGGACCAAGGGAAAATACCCTGTTCTTTCTCCATCCTACCTAGATATTGGCTGGATTCAAGAAGAAACCACAGGGCAAGGGAACTAGGTGACAAAGCTCCTAAAGGTCAGCCTCCGGGGGACAGAAATCAGGGTAGAGAAGAGGAGAGATGCTCTGGACAGGCGAAATGAAAATATCCAGTACACCAGTCAAACCAGTCAACCCCAAGTATAAAGGAGAAGCATTTCAGAAATACAAACACTCACCTCACACGCACCAAGAGCTTCAGCAAAATGAGATAACGTGATAATGAATACATTGGAGCTAACCAAGGTGATCAAACCAAGAAAGCAAGTGACAGCTGTGCCTCATGCCCTGAGGGCAAACTATCCACATTTTAGAAAGAGGATGGAAAGTGGAGAAGGATGGCTCCAAGGGGAAAACAATGAACTGACAGATTATCTCATGTGTGGAAGCACTTAAAAGATTGCTGGGCATTTGACCAATCTGTTTAAATATTTTGGGAAAAATAGCAATGACTACATAGAAAATTTGGGAAATGAGGAAAGATAATCAATAAGCCAAGTATAGCAAAAATTGGAGAGGGATTAACCTTGAAGAAACTTTGGAAAGCCATCTAAAAGATTTAAAAAAAAAAAAAAAGTCACCCAGGAAAGAACCACCATTTGGATACTTGCCTCACTTTTGGAACTTATGCTAGTCAGTGTTAAGCAGAGATGCAATCCAAAAAAATAATGCTCTACATATCAGCAACACAAGGATGCCTACCCAATTTTTAACCTGTGTCTTTCCTCCTCTCTCCCAAAGAGAGCATGGCAGTGCAAAACAGGGCATGAGGGCATGTGTTCCCTCACCTCCCCACCCTAAGCCAAAAGTCTGGCCCATGCTGATACGGAAAATAATTTTAAAAGAAATATGAGGTCAAATTTTAAAAATGAACAGAATTAAATCGTAATAACAGGAAAGGCACTTCAAACACAAAGCAGCTGGAATATTATGGAAATATTACATCACCAAGGAAGCTTTCTAACCAGAAGGAAAAAAAAAAAGACATTTGACAGGGGACAGAAATAGCAGTTTTTGAAAAATAATTGTTGTTACATTATTCTATTTGAGAGTCATCAATCAGAACAGCTATAGAAATTGGAAAAATACTCGGAGAAAAATGTTATACAGACAATTGAAACAGACGATATAATGGTGAATGTATTGCTACCTTGGGATGGATAAGGAGGAGAAGGCCCCTGTGTGAGGCAGCCTTAAGCTCAATTCAGAATAAAGAGCCAGCCACAGGAATATTTGGGTGGAAAAAGGGAGAGGGTGGGCAATCTTCCCAGGAAGAAGTAAGAACAAAATAAACCTAGCATACCTTAGATGTTGTGGTCTAGGATGAGAATAGGACAAAATGAGATGAGAGGTATGCAGGAACCAGATCTGAGAGCTGACCCCGATTGCAGAGAGAGCAAGCTGTACTTAATCAAGATGCTGGTCTGAAGAAGCAAGTGACTATAATGAAGAGGCAGCTTCTAGAAGAGCTGGGAGGGGCAGTTGTAGTCATGAGCCAGAGGAGTCATGAACCAAGTCAAGTAACCTGCAGCCAAAATTCCTAGTGGGGGAATCAGCAAGGAACCCAAAGAAAGCACTTCCTGGGGGGAAAAAGTTAGTATTTGATGTTGGCCGCACTCAAGGCACCAACTATAGATAACATCTTCATCAGGCTGATAAATCTTTTTGGTTCCCTCATCCAAACACAGGAGGACTAGAGACAACTAGTAATAAGGAAGTTAAGGCAGAATATTGAGGGACAAGCCACGTCTCATTCCCCAACATGGATTTTCCAACACGATGTGTACTTGTAGGCAGTGGAGGGCTGAGAGCTTTAAATAAAGTATAATACTTAAGCATTGACTTGAAAATAGACTGTAATTTTTACGATCTGGTAAAAATTAGCATAATTCCATAATATTTAAAAGTAATCAGAAAAGCTATGGGGTGGGCAAGTGGATTGCTTGAGAGACAAGGAAAGATATAATCAAAATGTTACAATGGATTTCTCTGGGTTGTAGAATCTTTCTCCCTCTTATTTATTTGTATTTTATAAGCTTTCTCTAATGATATATTGTTTAATAAAACTTTTTTTAAAAGGATACTGTATCTATTTCAACAAACAACAGACTTCCCAGTTTAAAGGACATTTGAGATGACTTTTGAAGGTTGTTGATGTTGGCAAGCAGCAGAAGCACAGAGAGGAAGTGTTTCTGTTGGTGAAAGATGAAGAGGCCCAGGGAAATGTTTGGAGGTTAGACTGGAGCTAGTGTAAATTTGGGGAATAATGAAAGATGAAACCAGAACTAGCACTGAGGCTAGGCACTTTTGTATGCAAGAAAATAGGTATACCTTGTTAACTTAAGTAATGGAGGGTTTCTGGTAAGGATGGACATGCAGAGGAATCCAGAAAAAGTTAACCAACCAAGGCTCAGGACATTAAAGAGCATCCCTGTGTCAAAGGGGGCTCTGGGAAACTTGGGGCTCTACATTTAACATTCATACCTGCTTCATTCTATACCGTCCTGGCTTTCCACCATGCGACCAGCACACTGGTTTCATCAAAGAGGTTCCTGGCATAAAAGTTAACTAGTGAGATCGAAATAAACACACAGACTCAGTTACCTTTTTCTATGACCAGGTCCCAGATGGCTCCCCCTCTGGCTCCCACCTCGAACTACCCAGTAGGGCAGCAAGGATTACTCAGGGCTAGCAGGAGAGAGAGAGAGAGAGAGCACGCCAGGGAGTAGCCTTTTATTGGGGAACAAGAAATTCAGGGGAGAATTCCATCCAATGAAGGTTGAGGGGGCTGCACTCCAAGGTCAGGGTCAGTGATTGGCCCCAGGGTCAGTGGTCAAGTCACACCCCCACAGGGGCAGGCTCTCGCACCAGGAGAGGGTCGGGAAAGCTCCGACACAGTTTAGCCAGAGCGCCTCAGACCCAAACCGGGAGTTGCCCAGTCACGTGTGAGAATGGCTCCCCACACTAGCTAGCATCTTTCTTCCCTCTGCTCTGCAGGTTGCTTATGGCCTCTTTTCCAACTAATGGCCTTTTTAAAAGTTCAGCTGTCAATTAACTGCCTCAATCAAGAAAATTGGCCCAGCTCATGGTTTGCTACCAGTTGGGCAACATCATGGAGGCTGGCTGTCCTTGGGTTCAATCAGCTAGATGGGAAGCAACAGAGTCCTGTATGATTAAAGGTAGGAGGGGGCTGAGAACAGGAAGGTACAACCAGGGAGAGTAGGTCAGGCATTTCTATGTAACAAACGGCATACTCGGGCTTGGTTGTTGATAAGGTCTGAATGTGTTCCCTAAAATTCTTGTGTTGGAAAATCAATCCCCAATGCAAATGTGTTGCAAAGCTCTTGTGAATGAACTCATGGTAGCAATTAAAAGGGTTTTCAAGACTGGATTTACCCCTTTCTGCCTTTGTGTCACGTGAGGCTACAGCAAGAAAACCCTCACCAGAAGAAAGCACTTTGATCTTGGATTTCTCAGCCTCTAAATCTGTAAAAAAAATTTACACCCTTAATAAATGACTGTGCCAGGTATTGTTATAGTAGCACAAAATGGACTAAGACAGACATACAATACAGGTAAGAAATAGGCCAAAATATGAAGAGCTTTAAATTCCAGAGTAAGAAATACTTAGCTTTTTGGGTAATTGTGACTGTAACAGTTCCTGTCATCCATCTCTCTCTCTCTCTCTCTCTCTCACACACACACACACACACACACACACACACGTGGGGGCTGGGGAGGGATGCAAACTAGACCCTGCTTTTTCTTCCCTATCACTGAAAGAGGGTAATCTCAGAACCTCAGCAGGAAACTTTCATGAAAACTAGGGGCAGATCTCAAGAAGTGAAGAATGAGAGAACTTTCTGTTTGAAAACTCCCTGATGCTCAGCAAAAAGGTCTTTAATCTGACATGGTTAAAAATGTACTGTATAAGAATATAATATCCACTCAGGGTGTTCCTCATGCAAATGAGTTGGCCCATATTGTGAGGTTAAATGCTTACAAATGCTTTTCACTGCCAAAGAGTGAAAAGGACAAAAAAAATGTATAGTTTTTAGTGAAAGCTGAAATAAATTTAGGAGCTGGCTGTTTCAGTAGTAAAATGGCCAAATTTGAGAAATAAGGAAGATATAAAGATTTCCGGATTCTGACAATTCTCCAGAACGCATAAACTACTCCTTTCTACTACACATAGGAATGCATAAACTACTCCTTTCACAACCAAAATCAATTGTGACTATTACTACATATTTAATCACAAAGAGTATTTGGTAAACTCTAAAAACATGTAAGTAGTGATTTGCATTCATTCTAATATACACCTAATAAACATATACCATGTAGTTCAGTCTGTAAAAAAGATGAGTATTGAATGGATATTTAAATAGTTATAATCTATATTCAATAACAGACCCTTTAATCTGATTGCTTAGCAAGTACAGATCTGACTTCTAATTCTCCCTTTCAAAGTAAAGATGCATAATTTCAAGCAACTCTCTGTCCCAATAGCATTCATTGACATTTTTTTCAAACGAATCATTTTAGCATCAGTCTTTTGAGTTTTGCAAATTTTCATAAATTGGCAAGTGATTTCTGTTTGTTTCTCAGTTTTCCCCAGATACAGTAAACTGTTGAGACAATGTGTGGTTTAAACAAGTTGAGCAAGGTAGGTATCAGTAACACCAAAGGGGTGTAAGAGGCAAGTAAAAAATGAAAAACTAGAAGTACTTTCATGTTAATGTTTTATTTAAACCAGTACAAGCACCATGCTTAACAAAAGACTGTCCAAAATAAACATGCAGTATGAACTAGCAGAGACTGAAACCACAGGTTAAGAAGTTGTGCCAATTGTTGGTTTGATTAAACGATGACAGAGAACTGTTAAAATTCACAAGACTAAACCATTAATGTTTCAAGCCTCCTGAATGAGATTATATTGGACCATCTAAATAAGTGGGAATTGCCCTGGCATGTTAGTGATCTCAAATAATATTCAAGTAATTAGATGTGTATGAATTATACTCCATGAAGCAAGAAAATACAGTTTCTATCACAAGCTTAATGTAGTTGTTTTACACATTACAGGAATGTGATCATTGATTTGAAATGTCAAATGGCCTAACAGGAAACAAGTTTCTCAAGGATATTCAACTTGGGGCCATTGGTTTTATGTGGCCTAGAATATTATTTACATTCTTCCAGAAATACAAAATAAGATTTGTCCTGAAATGTTTGAAACACTTCTTCACATAAATTGTAAAGGTTTAAAACTTCATAGATTCCAGTATTACCAGTCTATTAAACAAATAGGGAGTGCAACCATACCAAGAGTACTTGAATTGATAGAATGAGTTATTCTCTACTTCCACCAAATATCAGCATTTAAACTCTTATGAAAATATCTATTCATCACTAGTCCACATATGGATTAATGACATTACTTGAGTTTAAAAAGTAGTCCGTACATTTTTTTTTTTAAAGTACACCTTCCTTAATATTTGTATGGGTTAGGGGAAAAAGCCAAATTTAATTTGGCCATAAATTCCCCTAACTGGAAACATTTAGTTAAAGTGTCACACCAGGATACAGTTTATGGCTACGTTTAACTCCTGAAAATAGGAGATAAAAAGGGAGGGAAAGTGCTGACAGACATTTTGTTACACAGATTCTTCAATGACAATAAAAATTTAGCAACACCCTCTTAAACAAGAGTATGTTTAACTGCACCAGGCATTTAGTAAACTTTTTTGAAATAGACAATTCAAACATTTATTTTAGAAGTGAATTAAACAAAAACAGTCAGTCAACCAACTATTTTTCCTAACATAATTCTTTAATACCAGAACAAAGTGAATACTATTCAAAACTCAAGACATTTTGGAATTTCAGCATAGTAACCTGAGAACAATTTTCTTCATATGTCATTATGTTGCCACAAAAACCATACTGTGATTACTAGTTGTTTCTATTTTGACATAAGATGCTATGCAGAACTTATGCAAGGCCAATAATTTCAAAACTAATGCTGACTTAGAACACCATGAAGGAGGTTCCCAGGAAAAAGTTGCTGCCAAAAAGGAAAGATTAAGATTTAAGGCTGAATGGGAATGGCTATACCAGAAAGATACGGAATGTAAGAACTGGAATTATGAAATCTGTAGTTAACTATTTGTAGGAAGACAGAAAAAAGAAAAGGAAATGTACTTTAAAAGAAAAATGTAAAATTTAGTTAAAAGGAAACAGAAATATCTGAGAAAATTTTAGAGCATGGAATTTGTAATTACCCTATTGGACAGACAGAATAAAAAATGTTCTACTGCTCTCCTAACGTCAATCTGTTGTCTTGAGAAATACATGTTATTAACAAGGAGACAGACAGGCTCAAAGCAGCACAGTTTATCACAGCTCTTTGCTCCTGTTAGAAACTAAAAGAACTAAGAGTTCTGTGTATGGAAGGTCAATATTATCTGAGATTATGGAGGACTTCCATATTTTTTTAAAAAAAATTAGGCTAAAATCTTAAAAATGAAACAAGGAACCTATTTTAAAAAATACATTCTTGCAGCACTAGTGTTTCTTACTGATGCAAACCAGATAAAACAAAATCTCACCTCCCTCTTAAAAAAATTAAAACCACTCTCTATTCATTTGGATTTCATTTGCATTTCTGAAGAATTATTAGTTAAGTTACTCGATACCAAAATAGCAGTTTAAAGAATTCTTAAACTTCCTGCATGAAGTTTTCTCTCTCTGAAAACTGAAATAAAGGAACTGTTCCATTTATTAACTAAAACAAATACCTACTCTAGCACTTTCCCATTTCCAACTTGTCAATGTTTCCTGACTTCTAGATTAGTGAAGCCAAACAGTTGGGAAAGAAGATGCTCTATTCAATATTGTGAAAATTCCAACTATCTTTCTCTCTTTGTTAAAGTTGGCACAGAACTCTCAAAAATAAAATGCAAAAAATAATATGAATAGAAAATATGCCAACATAAAAAGAATGCCTTTGCTAATTTTGAAATGACTATGCTATTCTTAATATAAGAATCTATTCACCAAATTTGGTTAAGCTTCTTGAGTCTCTAGATCTTTTATTAAATTACCATTCAGCAGTTACTTATGTTTGTTTTTAAAGTATGCTATATATATTATGATTCTTGCTTTATCCAAGGGTTCCCTTTTTTTTTTTTTTTTAACATGACTGGCTTGGTTAACCAAACAGATGACCAGTTTAGACTATCTTCTAACATTTGGGATTAAAAATGTGATTTCTGTTGATGGGTTATTAAGTATGACCAAAGTTTTAAGATAAGCAACTTTTACATATGGCACAAAACTAGTCACAAATATACCCAAAATTACAACTCTCAACTGCCATATTTTCACCTATGCAAGCAGATAGTTGGAATTTTAAAAATAAGAAGTTGATTTTATTACAAATTTTAGATAAACACATTAGAAAATTGTTTTATTTGGACCCTTTAAAAAAGTATTAATTTCACCAAATCTAGAATACTGGCAGTGTAAAAGTCCTAAACTAACTTTAAAGCTAACAAATCAAAGGCACAGTATTAACACACTTAAAATAATTAGTGTTCACAAGACATAGGAAGTGCCTTATAAATGAAGTGTTATTAACCTAGATTCAAAACTATCTAGAAATGACAATGGGGAACGAAGCCCTTGATTATTACAACCTAACAACTGTGAAGACCAAGATGCTATTTTCCATAAGAAGAAACCTAAGAGTCATAACTCTATCAAAAAATCTAACTCCTAGACCTAAAAAATGAATGATTGATGAACATAGTTTCTAGACTTGATTAAAAAGATATAGGAAATCAAGAGGTACAAAATTGATGAAAAATGTACTTGAAATGTAGATTACACTACAGTAAATTACTATTCATGGCTCAAAATTAGGTCACTCAAGTTTTTAACCCCAAATTAATTTCAATGCTTTGACAAGTGATAATATGCTATTTTCATATATAAATTGCTAATATCCAGTATTTGTCAAAAGGAGGCAACTGTTGTCTAGCACAATCTAATACCCACTTTCCAATGGTGTCTGTAAATAGTAACAAATTCTGAACCATAAGTTATAGAAATTAGTCACAAGAGTGCAAAAAGTCCTTGGAGAAAAGTAGCCCACCTAACAATTACAAATATAAGGAAACACTTTACAAAGTTTCATTACTATGAAGATGATTTCCTCTTTGTTCAAACTTTGCACAAATGAAGAATTTTTCTTTACTGCAGGAAACAAACTGTAAGTAACAGTGCATTTTTTAGGCATAAATAAGTATTTATGTCTGGTTCCAGTATAGTCAGGTTAATACATAAATACTTTAAAAACACAGAAGTTCACATTAGTGGAAAAACCCAAGTTTCTCACGTAACCATTCTTCAGTTAGGTCTTCGGTATTTCTTATTTCGAATACCTTAAGAAAAAAAACTTAAGTCATATTTCTGACATTTACACAATACACATTATATATCTGAGTATTATATTAAATACCAAATTCTGCTTCCTTCATATCGGTCATGACTTAACCTACAATAAATTAGATATACTGTTTTTTTTTTCTGCGGGGGTGGGGAGTGTGTACCAGGGATTGAATTCAGGGGCACTTGACCACTGAGCCACATTCCCAGCCCTATTTTGTATTTTATTTAGAGACAGGGTCTCACTGAGTTGCTTAGCGCCTCACTTTTGCTGAGGCTGGCTTTGAACTTGTGGTCCTCCTGTCTCAGCCTCCCAAATCACTGGGATTACAGGTATGTGTCTTGGCACCTGGCAAATTAGATATATTTTTTAGCAGTACTTAATTTCTTTTAAAAGCTAAGTACTCAGTATAGCAATCAAGATGAGAGAAGACAAACACTGTAAAATAGCAGTTTTATAAAACTTACTCATTAGAAGAGACGCATTTTAGTATATACAAGTAAAATCAGTCATGAACTGGAAGAACATACCATGAGTCCTCCATAATTTGGCAAATGGAAATACCAGTTGTAGATTGTTTTGATAAGAATAGAAGGGAGGTCCATAGCAAGAATTTGAATTAACACAGGCCCAGAAAGTATAATGGCTATGGAGAAACAATATATTACAGCAGAATGGATGGGATTATGGATCAGATGTGAGTTTGAATCCTGGCAACCCTAGGCAAAGCATTCAGCCTCTGAACCTGTTTTTCCTATTTATAAAATAGAAATACTAATTAGCCACACAGGGCTATAAGGATTTGAATAGAGTATTTATAAAAATAACTTGTAAATTGTAATGTCTCAACTGTAGCACTTTAGAACACACAAAGGATTATAAAAGACTTAAGACTAAGGCTATTAACAGAATTTGGGTTTTTTTTTCTCTTAGTTTAGTTTTGTTTCACATTTTACAGTGCTGAGGATCAAACCCAGGGCTTTGCACATTCTAGACAAGCACCCTATAGAGTTCCTCCTTAACCATCCAACCCCTTACAGCAACTCCACAATGTTCCCAGCATAGAAGTTAGGAAAAAAAAAAATTGTGTCTATAAATTGATAGTATCAATGATAATCATAAGGGCTGGAGAGAAAAAGCAGATGGCACTTAAAGACAATCCCCAAATTAATGCTTAAGCACCCAAGGGGAAACACTGATACTGTCATTAAAATAAAATCAGAAAGAAAATATTGTTAAATATGGTCTTGACGATACAATATTCTATTTCATAGATTAAATGTATATACTTTTACAACTTAAAATAGTATGTGGAAACTAAATCAAGTTTGAGACAAGTACACCTTACCTTTAAGCTTCAAAAATACCATAAAGGAATGGAGATATATTATATATTAAAGCAAGTATCTCATATACAGTTAGCTACACAATACAGAATTCCAGCACAGAAACCTGAATGCTGATCTTTACCTATTAGACATTACTTTATGGAAGATAAAGAGCTTGCAATAAACTTAATAGTTCCACTGGATTTTCTAAAGTTGTTCACATTCTGAATATGATCTCTTGTATTCAACTTATTGAACAAAAAACACATTTTGGTTTAAAAACTACTATCATTCTATTACACAAAGAACCAATCCAATACAAATTAATAGATGAGCAAAAGCAAATCTAGTATAGCAGAAGAAGGAGAAGGGGAGTGAGGGGCGGGGCAGAAGGGAAAAGAGGGCATCATGAACTGAAATTGATTTCCATGCGTGTATGAATTTGTAGAGATGAACCCACTATTATGTATAATCATAAAGTTCTAATTTTTAAAAAAAGACCACTATCATTCTATTTAAAAATAATAAAAAGTTTTGCTAATTTACAGCTGTGATCAAAATAACCCTCAACTGCATAGAAAATACTTAACTATCTAGACTGCTTTAGTTATTGTCTATACTCTAAAGGAAAGTATACCATCAACAAACAAATCAAATATAAATACTACCTTGGTTAGTTCAGCTGTTTGGACTAACTTATTCTTGCTCCCCGCATACATCATCTGTTGTTCAGGCTTACATCCTGGAAAAGAGAGATTAGTACAGAAATGAAGTGTAGACTTTGAAAAAAATGGTGAATTTTCATTTTAAAAAATTACATATTTAGTATTTCCTTAACTTTTGAGTTGAGAAAAAGTGTGTTCTAAATGTACATGGGCTATATTTTGAATCTTATTTTTCATACTGCCTGCACAGACACAGCTATAAATAAGTCCACATATAAGCAAAAAAATGGTTCTACACCTTTGTAGATCTTGACTTTTAGAGCCTTGCAAATACTTACAAATAGTGTTTAGCACTATTTCTTAAGTTTGACACTAAATATCAAGATCAATTTTATGGATGCTTTAAATACATAAATTTTGAGATGGTGAATTATTGTCTGGTTATGTATTAGGTTAAAAATATAGTATATTTTAGAGGTTAAAAATACAAATAATCAAGTTTAGAAAAGAACTCAATAATAATGGAAAAATTCAGATGATAATGAATTCCTTAAGTACTATTCATTTATTTATTGTTTTGCAATACTATGGATGAAATCTAGGGCCTGGCACACACTAGGCCAGTACTGTACCATTAGGCCACATCCTCAGCCCAATCCATTTTTTTTTTTTTTAAGAGAGAGAGAGAGAGAGAGAGAGAGAGAGAGAATTTTTTTTAATATTTATTTTTTAGTTCTCGGTGGACACAACATCATTATTTTATTTTTATGTGGTGCTGAGGATCGAACCTAGTGCCCCGAGCATGCCAGGTGAGCGCGTTACCACTTGAGCCACATCCTCAGCCCCCATTCCATTTTTTAAAAAAAATATTTTTAATTGTAGATGGACAAAATACCTTTAATTAATTAATTTATCTTTATGTGGTGTTGAGGATTGAACTCAGTGCCTCACATGTGTGAGGCAAGCACTCTACCACTGAGCCACAACCCCAGCCCAATCCATTTTAATATCCAATGTAAGCTACTCCAGGATCACTTTCAAGGTGATAGGTATATCACTGCTGACTACTATTTAAAAGATAAACATAAATATATTATTATTTTTTTCGTTTTTTAAAAATATATTATTATTACCACACAAAGTTCATATACTTATAAACAAGATTAAACAAGATTAAATAAACAAGATTAAAATAAACTTCTGATATCTAAATTATGTCATTATATGCCATAATTATTAAAATACATGTAAGGTTTGACCCAACAATTATACTTCTAGGAATTCATCTTCAGAAAGTAAACACATTCTTAAAGATGATGTTTTGTAATACCTTCTTTCTAGGTATGCACAGAGGTGTATGCAAACACACACACACCTCAATTTAGGTTAGTCAACAATTTAATATTTTTAAAAAAGCATAAAATCTGTCTAATAAAAGATGGTTTAAGGCTGGATGCAGATGGATTACAGGCTGGTACATGCCTGTAATCCCATCGGCTTGGGAGGCTGAGGCAGGAGGATTGTGAGTTCAAAGCCAAGCTCAACAAAAAGTGTGGCAAAAAACAACTCACTGAAACCTGTCTCTAAATAAACTACAAAATAGGGCTGGAGATGCGGCTCAGTGGTCAAGTGCCCCTGAGTTCAATTCCCAGTACCAAAAAAAAAAGATGGTTTAGTTAGATCAGAGGCAAATATACATTATTTAAAGAAATTTACTTACCAACAGGACTGGAGAAAATAAAGCACAGAGGATATGAAACTCTTCCATCATCATGTTGATATTTATAACTATATACAATGAAGGTTTTTCTCAAGTTAAAGAAACTAAAGTCACTGCTCTGAGATAGGTACTTACCAACACCAGGGGAGCTACTGAGTGGCAAATTAATATTTTATTAATTTAGGTCACACTTTCATTATTGTCTTTCTACAAAATAATAAATGGGCCTCAAAGGTAAGTTTAAAAAATCATGTAATTTGTCAAAAAGAAATTTATTAAAGTATGGATTTGATATAGATTTTTCTTTCTTTTTTTTTTTTTTTTTTTTTTTTTATATTTATTTATTTATTTATTTTAGTTCTCGGCAGACACAACATCTTTGTATGTGGTGCTGAGGATCGAACCCGGGCCGCACGCATGCCAGGCGAGCGTGCTACCGCTTGAGCCACATCCCCAGCCCTAGATTTTTCTTTCTTAATTTCTATTGTACATACATTATAATAGAGAATTATTTTTAAAAGAAAATAATTCACCCCACTAAGACATAAACTTTTTCATTTTTCTTAAAGTCTGATCTGTACAGACATATTTTAATTCAGTTTTGATCATGATATAGAAGGAATTCTGGTAAAACATATCTTTTGAAAGTTTAACAAATGAGCTATTTACAATGAAATTCTGACCACTAAAGAAAACAAATCACTCCAAAGCATTAAGAAAAGGATATCGAGGTTGTCGTTCTGGTAGTTCATCTTTAAGTTCATCTGGTGAAATGCCCTAGTACCGTAGAGAAAAACAACTTTTAAACATTTCCTTTCTCATAAGTCTTTAGGAGATATGCTAAGCCTATTCTAATAAGTTATAAATTCATTAGCATATGCCACAAAATAAATTTACTTTCAATTAATAGCTAAACATGGGGCTGTGAGACATACTGTTCTGTTTATGTTCCAACTGTCAGGATAAGCTAACCCCTCAGAGGAAATATCTCATTTTAGAAAAACAAGTTAATTCATTTCACTCTAAATTACTTAGTAACTAAATGCTTGAATTGTAGGATTTTAGTTTTTAATTATTACCTTAAGCTGACTCACTTTTTACTGGACATAACTTCTATCCCTTATCAAAAGGAATTCCATTAATGCCTTAAAGACAGTTAAATTAGCTAGAAAATGCAATACATAATAATTAATCCATGCTTTTCATGCACAATGAGTATGTACTTAAAGGAGGTTTAGAACTTGTTTTAAAGGTATGTGTAACTAATATAAAGTATCTTTTGAATGATAGTAATTGTTTTACTATAAAAATTGTATTTAGCTTATTGAACAAACCTCAAGTTCCTCATCCAGTACCACCAGGCGTTTATCCTTGTCAATCTTCACTAAAATAAAAATACAATATGAGTAAACTGTGATTCTAATGTGACCTTGATCTAACCAATGCATGCATTCTCAATCTTTCTTGGGGCATTTAAAATTTAAACACTAAGGAACACAAGCATAAAACTCATTCATAGTTTTAGTTTATGGTCTATTTGGTAGCTTTGCTTTTTAAGCAGTTAGCTTTTACACTTTACCCACAATTTTCAACACCTAGTTTGCTTATTTAGAACTTATGTCAACTCCTTACATTTACAGTGTATGTGAAGAATTCTGTAACTCCAACACAACTTCCTAGATAAGGTCCAAAGGTAAATGTGACTGGTCTATGGGCAGGGTGGTTAGAACTGCAAGGAAGAGTGGACCTGGGGTCAGGTCAGGAAAGAGAAACCTCGTGTTTGCCAGCTTCTCCAGAGTCAGGATTTCATGCTGCATTATCATTAGTCCGGGAAAGTAAACTATAAAATAGCACTGATATCCATATTAAAATACATCTGACATAATCAAAAGTCAAATCAAAATACGTTTAGATAACCTATACATTTATTTTTTTTTTTAAACTAGTCTGAAGAGCTGGTTATGTGTGGTTTTGCATGAATTTCACAGCAAATCCTATGAAATACAACGTGGTCTCAAAATCACTTCATCTTTTGTGGTAAAATAGTACTAATATACACATTCACTTTTAAGAATTATATGCTCACATTACAGAAATTATTTGTAACAGAACCAGAATTAATGACAAGGTATCACCACTTCTGATTAATTCACACCTGCCAAGTGCATCTCTGTTAAGCATAGTCTACGTAGTTCTACATTTTCACAGCTTTTACCTTTCTAAATCATTAACTACATATTAAATATTACGGATGAATACAAGGAACTCTGCACAGCTTCACATATAGCTCACAGTGGAGAGGCAGTCTGTGAATTATCCTTTCCATTTACAGAAGATATTCACACTTAAAAGCACTCTCCATGAAACTAGAATTCAGTTCTAGAATTGGAATAGTGCCCAAAGCCACTCTGGACACAATGATGAACTTTATCATTCTAGGTATAGGCACAGATTTCTTCCAGGCTTTTAGTTTCCCAAGAAGGATGGAGAGACCAGTCACTACACATGAGAATCCTCATTCCCCAAGTGAACAAGAAGATCATCTTCTCCAGAGCTGTGTACGATTGGCTGTTTCTTAATTTTTAAAGGTAGGGGTAAGGGATGTAACAAATGGAGCAACACTACTTTCTAAAGGTTCAGTTTATTCAACACAGCTATAAGATAAAAACAAGCTAAGATCATGTAACTTGGAAGCAATCACTTTTAGCTTACTTATAATGGCAGCATTGTTCGTTTCTTTGCGAAAACGAAACTTTCTCAGCTTTTCCACTAAATCTTCAGCAACATCACAAACCACCAAAGACTCGCTCTATAAAAGAGGAAAAAAAATAAAATGCCATGACCTCAATAAATGTATGTTAAAGACTTTCAAATTCACCCATCTTTGGATTTATATTGTTTAATCATACACTTTTGTTCACCTTCTATGTAGGATATATTTTAACAGTCTCTTTGGTTGATAAATTTTAAAAAATCAGAAACAAAGCCAGGTGCAATGGTGTATTCCTGTAATCCCAGTGCCTTGAGAGGCTGAAACAGGAGGATCACAATTTGAGGCCAGCCTAGGCAAATTAGCAAGACCCTGTCTCAAGATAAAAAATAAAAAGGGCTGGGATGTAGCTCAGTGGTAGAGTGACCCTGGGTTTAATCCCCAGTACTAAAGTGGGGGAAAAAAATCAGAAACATCACAATATGTATCTCATCAGAACTGTAGAGGAAGGGAGGGAAACAGGAAAAGTCAAGGGTCACCATGTGCTTTTAGATAAGGCAAGCATCATGTTTTCACACTGTGCAGGAAGAACAGGAAAATATCTTATAAATAATTTTTTTAAAATAAAAATAACAAAAGTATAAACACAAGTCCTAAGAGGAAAGATGAATAACATTTTATATCTTAATTGACTATGAACATGTAAAATGAGCTAATAAGATGCAAAAGCAAAACCAGATGAAACAAAAATAAAATTTTAAAGAACTGTTTAGAAATTATGAAGAAATATTAGAGAAACTTGCTCAGAAATCTGGCAAGGAAATGATCAAAAGCACTCTTCTTTTAGTGGTACAATGCATTACTGCAAATGATAGTGAAAAAATATTTTTGTTTTTTATATGTAAAATATCAAACACATACAAAAGGACAAAGCAGGACAGTGACACCTATGTATACCACTCAGTTTCAATCATTTAACTATATTTCATTCAATACCCTCAACAATGCCCCTGCAACCTATGACACAACAAAGGCCAAAAGTAAATTCACTTGGAAATGAGTTCAAAGACAGCCTCGGTAACTTAACAAGGCCATAAGCAACTTAGTGAGAACCTGTCTCAAAATAAAAAAATATTCAGAAAAGGGCTGGGGATCTTTCTCTGTGGTTAAGTACCCCTGGGTTCAATCCCTGGTACCAAATAAATAAATAGATAGCAACATTATCCTACCTAAAAAAAAAGAGACAATAATTCCAGACTCCAATATCCAAATAGTCTTCAAATTCCCTCTTTGTTTTAATTTTTTTAATAGTTGGTTTGAGTCAGGTTCCATACAAGGTCCATTCACTTTAGTCTCATTTCATATATAGGTTTACCCCTGCCTTCCTCCTCCTTGAAATGCTAAATACACATCTCATCATAACCCCAAAGCATTAAAGCTTCCAATTTTACAGTAAAATAAAAAAATAATAATAAGAGCCTGTTTGCTTGATCCTGTATTGGGTAAAAGACAGCATATGCTAAAGCAGAAAATGGCTTTCAATTTTAACTGCCCTTTAAATTCAGAACAATGGTAAGACATAAGGTATGATATATACCATAGGATATGTTAAAATACAATTGGAAAGTACATCCCATCAAAGTATATTATCCAGTAAATAACAATCACTCGGGGATTATGGATTTCCAACCTTTTCATTCTCTTCAGAGATGCTAAGTCATTGGGAGCTTCCTGAAGATAAGATTTAATCCTACTTCATTATTATTCTCTCTTTCAAGAAAGATCACAAAAACCAGAATACAAAAATTTCTATTTTCTCTTTGACCAAAGGCAGAATCCATTAATGAAACTAATAAACACTTCAGATTTTTGTTTAGGCAAAGATCAATTTATTGTGAAAGTTTTATCCTCCAGTTCTGATGCTCAGATCTGCTTGTGTAAGCTTAACATACTAAAAAATATGCTGATTTAACCTGTATAACTCATTTTTGTGTTTTTGCCCTTCTCAAAACCACAATAAGGCCCAAAATTCCTTTCTACAAGGAGGACTGAGGCTTGGCCAACTCTAACTGCTTACACTTAGAAGCATTTACAAAGAAGTAAAATGTCATTAAAAAAAAAAATTATATGGTAAATGTTACCACACAAAGTAAAGTGGAGAGTTGAGGTAAAGTGTTCATTTATTTGTTTATCCATATAATGAATATTAAATTAGTGCAGTACTGTGTTATATGCTAGAGATATAATCGTGTAAAAAGGAAATGAAAGATATCATCCCTTTCCTCAGGTAGCTTATATCACAATCTAGGAGAGAAGGAACCTACACCAAAGGGTCAGGCAAAAATATGTACATTTGTACAAGAGCTAGAAAGGAGAGATACACAAGACTATGAGAACCTGTGACTGGTGAAGAATACTATGGTGATAGGATGATTCCCTGAAAAAGCATCTAGAGTACTAAAACTACCTGTGCAAAGACCTGATTCAAGTGAACTCAAGCACAGACAATGAGCAGGAACATACGCCAGGAAGAATTGGGTCATATTAAGTATTTTGCTTTCTATCTCATAGGTAAAGGGAAACCAATAAGGTGTTTTAAGTAGGATAGGGAAGGAAAACACAATTATATTTGCATTTTGAAAAGATCACATTTGCTGTGGTATGCAGGAAACAGGCTGAGAGCCAGGATGATTACAACAAACCTAGTTAACAGTCAAGACTAGTCCTAATGAGAGATAAAAAGTAGTTCAGAGAAACTGAAAAGAGTAAAGAGAAGTGAATAATGCTAATAACTGTTAACATGTATTAAACACCATGAGAATCACTGTCATATCCTTTACACAAATTTCTCTTCATGCTAGACACAATTTCATGAAATGAGTAGTTATTATTCCAGTTTTGCAAGAAAGTAAGGCTAGGACAGATTAAGTATCTTCCGCCAAATTATGCAGCTAATGGGGCCAGGATTCAACCTAGGCAGCCTGACCTTTGGCCCACTCTCTTAATCATTACAAAGGAGCTGATGAATGGATTGGGTATGAGGTAAAAGAAATGGGTAAGGGAAAAAAGGGTTATAAAAATGTCTCCTAAGCTTCTGGTTTGTATATCATACTGAATGGCCCAACCTCACTGAGTTGCCAAACAGTGAGTCAAGACCAGATTTGAGGCAAAATAACAAGAGGATTCTAGACAAAATGAGGAGACTCTGAGGCACCCAAATGGTGAAAAGCTTCCAGGGATGTTAAAAACTAAGTGGAATATAATATCTGGACTGGATCTCAGAAGCAAGGTCTCAGATACAAGTTCACAAATCATCTGAATATAGGTGATACTTGAAGCCATGAATGTAGGAAAAAGGATACAGAATGGAAAAGTAGAGATTACAATGGAGTCTGGGACTCCTACATGTACCTACTGTCCAGGGAAAGGATAATATGCATGGGAAGCAGATAGACCAAGAGGAGAAACAGGAAGAAAACCAGGAGTTCTGTATTCCATAAGCGAAGAAAAAAGCATAAGGGAAGAAAATACTTCAAAAACTGGAGAATGTCAACACCCTGGAATGCAGCTGAAAGGTCAGAAAAGATAAAAACTGAAAAGAATCCATTGGATTCAGTGACCATGACAAGATCTATTCGATAGAGTGGGTGGTGACAAAGAGTGGGAGGTCAGAGAGACAGCAGTGTTTTTCTGATGTTATTTCTAAGGAAACTTGAGCTTATTTAAAAACCCAATAGGAAGGATCCAGAAGATCCTTGATGGCAATTCATTTAATTCTCCACTTAATTTTTATTCTTGGAGGGAGCCATCATCTCCTTATTCAACAAAACGAAATTTCTGACAGTTTCTTTACGGTCAAGCGCCAAAGCCTTGGGTCAAAAGATTTTCCATAGCCTTAAATCGGAGAATGCATGCATAAGGAGAAATGTTCAGTGTAAGATAGGGGAAGGGGAAGACAGAAAGAAGCTAAGGCAAGGCCGAGAGAATGTAATCAGATTCGAGACCTCCTTGCAAACGCCGCAAGGCAGAAGGTGCAGGGGGCTCAAGAGCTCCTTAGGCCTGGCCCTCCCCAGCCGCCGTCGAAGAAATGCTGGCGTTCGGGGAGCCTGCTGCAGGGCCAGACCCCCTGCCCCTCCGACCTTCAGCTCAGGAGCTGGAGCCCTCCAACGGGAGGGGCCCGGCGAAGAGGGGCCTCCGCCGGCTGTGGCTGCAAGGCGGGTCGACCCCGGGGCAGGATGGAGGATGCTACACTACGCGCGGCAGTAGAGCCTGCGGAGGCCAAGTTTCTAAGTGGGAGCAACCGCATGCAGCTGGGGTGGAAGCGGCAGCTGTATGCAGCGACTGATTGTAGAAAACAGTTAAGACCGGCGGGCTAGTCCAGCCTTCTGGGCCCTGCTCTCCCCACCGCAACTCACCATTTTCCTTCCGGCCGGCAGCAACCCCTAGCCTTCTCTCGTGCCCCTTTAAGAATGGCACGGCAGCCGCCTCCCTTCCTGCCCCGGCGCCCAGCAGAGCCGCCCCCACCTATCAGCTCTGTCGCAGCTGCTCGGCACGTGACAGCAGACGGCGGGAGGCGCAGCTCAAAATTAACTGGAACGCGAGCGCCCACTGCTCAGCTTGGCTTCAAGCGTGCGCCAGATCTTGTTATCCTTAAACTTCAACCTTTGAGAGCAATTTCAAAGTGACAATATTGAGTCAATGATTTTATTGGTAAATGTGTATATTGGTCACAGCTTACCTCCCAAATTTAATCTCCCTCCAATCTAGGCACGCCCTCCTTCCTCCAACACTCTGCAGAATTCCACCTCTGACCCACCCCCGCCCACCATCCTACTCCCTCCTGCCAGGGCTTGGTTAATATATATATATATATATATATATATATATATATATATATATATATATATATATATATATATATATATATATATTTTTTTTTTTTTTTTTTTTTTTTTTTTTTGTAACACGAACTGAACCCAGGGACGCTTTACCACTGAACCACTTCCGCAGTCCTTTTAAAAATGTATTTAGACACAGGGTCTCACTAAGTAGCCTAAGGCCTCACTAAATTGCTGCAGCTGGCTTTGAACTCAGATCCTTCTGTCTCAGTCTCTGAGCTGCTGGGATCACAGGAAGCTGGTTAATACATTTCTTTACCCAATAATATTTATTTACTGAAGTATGGTTGAATGATGATTGATGTTTAAATGGGCACTCTTATGGGCCACTGCCTAATTGTACTTTGAAAACTGAGGTGCCATTTTCTATCCTGATTAGGATGCCATTACAGACCTCTCTACATCTATTAAAATTCAGAGAACTTACACAAAATATGGTGGATCTTACTATATGTAAATTAAAGATTCCGTTTTTTAAAGTGTAAAACAAAATAGACTGTGGAGGGCAGAAGCAGAATCCAGAAAATTTTTAAGGATGTTATTGTAGTAATCTAGGGGAAGACATGACTTGGATGCAGGTGGATACAGTGCTTTGGTGAGAAGAGCCTAGAGCCAATACAAATTTCTGTGTTACAGTTTCTCGGTCTCACCAATATTGATATTTGGGCTAGGTCAATTCTTGGTTGTGGGTTAGTGCACTCTGGATTTTAGGAAGGTTAGCAGCATTCCCAGCCTCTACCCACCAAAGACCAGTCCTACAATCCAGAGTGCACTAATCCACAAAGTAGCCTCCTGCTGCTTGGGCAACCAATGCTCAGCATCTAAGACCATGAAAGTTTGTTGTTGTAGTTTTTTACTAGAGCAATTTGAAAGTTCAGTCTATAAAGGACTAAACTGTTAGGTTCTGTGAAAGTGACAATTTTTCACAATTCCTGTCACATATGGCATCAAAAGCCAAATTGATACATTCAGTTCCATTGTGTAGTTATTGTCTCAATGTTTGAACCTCAAAGTTAGACACATTATATTCCTACCTATTGATATTTCCAAAATTGAGGTAGATTGCCTTCTAAGAAAGAATGTGAGATGTAAAAAGGCCATATGAATGAAAAAGTTGGTAGTTTCAAGAAAAATATATCATGGAGATAATAATTTTTTTTAAACATGCTAATATTCTTGCATTCTTTTATGGGACTTTCTCCTTGGTCATCCAGAAGCACTTATCAGTCTCAAAAGATAAATAGAGATAAATAAAAAGAATACAAAAAAGAGAGAGACAGCTTTTGACTTCAAAAATAAGATTTTTTAATCTCAAGAAACACAATTATCTTGAAAAAGCCAGACACAGTTAAGAAAGGTTTTATGAAATTTTTAAATTTCAGGGGCTGGTGATGTAGCTCAGTGGTAGAATATAAGAGATCTAGGGTTCAATCCCTAGCACTGAAAAAAGAAAGAAAGAAAGAGAGAGAGAGAGAGAGAGAGAGAGAGAGAGAGAGAGAGACAGACAGACATTGATAACATGAAAGAGGCTACAACATAAGGAAAGTCAGTGGCAAGGAAAAGCCTTTCACTTTTGATCTGGTGGAGCATGGAGAGAAGCAGATACAATAAGAACAGAATTGTACCTGCCAAGGGGGAAAAGGAGAGAAGATCCTAAGGTAGGATAGTGGAGAACCTAAAGAAAATGAAGCTGGTAGTCTACTTTCACTGTCAGAAGGTAGAGGGCCCTTGAATTTGGTCCTGGGCAATGACATTCAGTGGCAGAAGTGGTTTAATTTGGTATCCTGAGATAACTGCTTGTTCTCTCAGTAGACTGCACGTGGTGTAGGAGAATCTCCATATTCAGACGTTCCCCCAATAAGTAAAAATGGAGATGATAAACATTCTGGAGACCCAGCAGAGCTAAGAGGACATAGCTTACAAAGGTTTACGACCAGAAGTAAATGGCTAAAATCCAGGATTTCAGCCGTGGGTCTGGCCTGGGGACACCAAAGGCCAGATGAAAACTTCTTCATCTTAGTGAAGAACTACAAGCATCATGCAGAGCTGACATCTCATTTCCTGCCCCCTCCATGAGATCCCATGAACATTTTTTGCAATCAGATATTATCTTAGGGAGGAGCAGGAGAAGAAGGAGGAGAAACTAAAAATTTTCTTAAAATAGATCAGATTCCTAAAAGAGTTGATTAAATTAGAGGAAACTAAGATAGTTTCAACTGATAAATGTTAGTTTCTATTGTCCTCTCTTTTTTGTCTCCCCTACTACTATTCAGTACAGTATTGTTTCAAGAGCAAAACTAGATCAGTTACAGATAAAGAAGAGCCTTTCTTCCTATTTGGGTGTAGGGGTATTGGGGATTGAACCCAGAGCACTTAACCACTGAGCCACATCTCCAACCTTTTATTTTTGATTTTGAGACAGGGTCTCACTAACTTGCTTAGGGCTCTCCAAATAGCTGAGACTGGCCTTGAACTTGCAATCCTCCTGCCTCAGTCTCCCAAAATGCTGGGATTACAAGTATACACCACAGTGCCCAGCCCATTCTTCCTATTGCTGTGAGAATTATACTTTTTTTTTCGTCCCTAGTATCCTTAGTGCTGCCAAGTAATCTCATAGAGAAGAACCTCTTTCATTCATTTGTTCATCCCAAATGTAACAACCAGATGCTTGTGGCACAAACATCAGTTAGGTGAGATTCCTTTGCTAACAAGCAGGATAGATAGACCAGTGAACAGATATACACAGGGACAGGAGGGCTCCCATACAGAAATATATTGGATGTTATGAAAGAAACAACTTCCTAAAGATTAGGGCACATCCAGGAATGCTTCCTGGAGGAGGAAGCTTCAGAGATGAATCCTTACACTTACCTAGAAATTAGGAGGAGGGGGAGGGGGAGGAAAGAATAAGAGTTTTGAGAGCAGAGGAAGAATATGCATGGCCAATTCTGAGATCTGCAAATAGTTCATTTCAATGATTTTAAGATTAACACACCCATACCCCAGTCACACATGGTGGTGAACATCTGTAATGCTGGCTACTAATCAGAAAGCTGAGGTGGGAGGATCCCTTAGGCTCAGTAGTTTGAGAACAGCCTAGGCAACACAGCAAAACCCCATCTTAAAAAAAAAAAACACTTCTCCAATTCTCTCTCTCTCTCTCTCTCATTAATTTTTATAGAATAAGACGTACCTAAAAATCCATGGTATCTTAAAATTTTTCTTAGTGACAAAGGTGCAGCTAAAAGTACCCTCATGAATGAAGGGTAAGTTTTGGGGGCCCTCATTTGCATGGGTTCCTTCCAAAGTCTTTATATTTAATTTTGTATTTGTAAGTTTGTATTCATCTTAGAATGGACTCCCCAAATTATAAGCTTTAGGCCTCGCAAACCTGAAATCAACTTAAGTGTGTTTTAGATGATTGGTAATTCAATAGGGCTAAGATCAGTGTTTGTAGGAGAGGAGGAAAGGAGAACAGGAATAAATGGTGAGATATTGGAGATTTAGAATTCAATTTCAGTGAAAGACAAATATATCATTGTTCTGGTGGAAGAAGCCAGAATTTCAGCTCTTGCTTCTCTCACATGCTTCAGGTTCAATCATTAAGACCCACATACCTCTCCTATGACAGAGACTTGTAGTTCTCTTTGAAAAAATTTTCCCCCTTATATAAGTAACAGAACTCTCTAGTTTAGTCAAGCACATGACTACCTTGAACAAAGACTGTATTTTTGGTCTTTCTTGCCATTAAATGCAGATATGAGGCTGAGATGTGGTCAATGGGAAGTGTGGTGTGTCCCTAGAGTCTGTGTCCCTAGAGTATCCTAAATGGAAATGGTGTCCCAGTTTTCCTCTCTTTTCCCCTTCCTGCTAGTGAGAATATAGACCTGATGGCTGGTGCTGGAACTGCTATTTTGGACCATGAGAGACATTAGGAATTGGGGCCATGTGGGTTGGAACAAATTAGGAGTCTTGGTCTCTTGCAATATAGTGAAGCACTATATTGGCTCTATATTGCCTATCTGTAGACTTTTAAGTTCAGAGATAAATAAACCTTTATCTTTAGTAAGATACTATTGTTACCTTTTTGTCACTCACATATAAATACATTTCTAACAAATAATCCTCTTTTCTGTGTGTCCTTATCACTGTTTTAATCAGAGTTAGCCATTTCTTACATGGCCTTTTGAAAAAAAATCTAGTAATTGACATACCTATATTTACTCATATCTACCTCAGCTATTTCAAATCAATGTTCTGTACACTACCCAAAATGATTGATTTGTAATGCAAGTAGACTGTCACCCCTGACCTCTTCAAGCATACCAGTGGTTTCTTATTGCTGTTTGGGTAAATTTAAGTAGTTAAAATGGCAAGACTCCTGAATGGTCTTTACCCTACCTATCTTTCCATCTTCAGCTCTCAGTGATTCTCCCTTCTCAGCATGCTTCAGCTACACTGGTTTTTCAGTCTTTCAAGTATGTTGTGATCTCTCCCACCTCAAGGCCTTGGTATGTTCTGTAGTTTAGATCCAAAATGCTCTTCTGACCTCTTGTCCTACTGACTGGTAAACCTTTCTTCATTACATCTCATCTAAATCTGTAGTTCTTCAGGGAACCTTTCCTTGATCTATCTTATATTCCTCCATCATGAGTTCTCATC